TTTTGGAATCGATCCAACAGACACAACGACATAAAACAATTAAAAGACGCATAAGCATTGAAATGAAAAGACGCACAGTTAAATGTAATTAACAAATACGCAGACAGACGTCAACATACAACGACGCATATACGCTGACATTAAACAAAGTTAAATTAAATAATTAACACATAAGCAGACACAGAACACATCAACTTAAAACAAACGCGCATGCAATGAAATCGAAACAGGGTTTAATGCAACAATTTAACTAATACGCATACATCAACATAAAACAAGACACATTGACAAAGTAATGAACACAGCAAACATAAATCCAAATAAACCCAATAAATGGACGAACAGACGGCTAACCTAACAATGATCAATTATAGTATAACAATGATAAATTACCTGATTACCTTAACACACGCGGACTGACTTGCACAAAACACGCAACTGCCCCCCTCTGAGTTAAATGGCTTAGCCCCCTCCCCCCCGGAGTGAGTGATTAGGGGCCGTCCATAAATGACGTCACGCGATTTTGGACGATTTTTGATCCCACCCCCTCGTCACACGGCGTCACAAAAAGTAAGACCCCCCCTCCTCAAATATGACGTCACAAAGCTCTGCCCCCCCCCCCCCCCAGAATCCATATTTCCATTTTGAAAATAAAACATGCTTCAAATCGCATTAAACTATTGGCATTGTAGTGCGTATTTAATGTGGCGCTGCACTCTGATGTTGTAGGAGAAAACATTTATTAAAAAGTATATTTAATTAAGTAGAACGTGATGTCTATATTTATTTAAAGTTGCGCATTTTGATGTGACGTCCCATTTCTCAACCCCCCCCCCCCCTCGTCACACATCGTCACAAATGTCTGACCCCCCCCCCCCCTAGGTCAGTGACGTCATTTATGGACGGCCCCTTAACCCCGAGCCTTTATGCGGTTCTAATTGCACGACGGAACCTGCGGAACACGTGGCGATCGAGGAGATTGTCGACATTCCACGTTTCCTCGACGGCACCAAGTACATCAGCCATGATCCACTGCTGGATGAAGGGTCCAGGGATTTGGAAGTGAGTGCCTGCAGTGTGATGATAGAGAAGTAATGCTTTATACTGGTAGGAACCACCTGGTTCCACCAGCCCACAGGGGATTATTGTGTCCGTCCGTCGTGCATCCAAAAATGGGAGGGGTGGGGCTGGGTGGAGAGGGGAGGGTGGGGAGGGGCTGGGTGGGGAGGGGCTGGGTAGGGAGGGTAGGGCTGGGTGGGGAGGGGCTGGGTAGGGAGGGTGGGGCTGGGTGGGGGTGGGGCTGGGTGGGGAGGGGCTGGGTAGGGAGGGTGGGGCTGGGTGGGGAGGGGCTGGTCACCCCGTGGTGCCCTTATAAAACCCAACGTTTAACCTACACACGCCGGCTTGTGCCCGCCCTCACAGTCGGGCATATTTGCGGAATACACCACGCCGCCGTTGACCCTGGCCATTGACCGAGCAACCCAACGTTCCTACCAGCTCCCTCCGCAGGAATGTGTTGTTACTTGATGGCAGGACTTTGATCTTGTTTTTATTTTAAACGTAGCAAATTTACGTTAATTAACTTGAATATTTTAACAACGCAGTCAAGGAGCGTAACGCGTTCTAGAGAACGGTGGAGGAGACGGAGCGATTAAATCGGTGAAAGTGCAGATGCTGGATGGATTGTTGCATCGAAATATTGTCAGAGGTGGCAGCGGTTTGAGGAGGCCTTCATCCAGCAGTGGATTGATCATGGCCTATGATGCATTTCTCAGGACTCTTGATCGCATACATTCTTCATCTTTATTTCATTTTGAGAACACTATACATGGAGGTGGTGTGAATAATATTTGTCAAACTCGACACGTTGCTGTGAAACGGGAGTCACTGTGTAAATAATGACATCCTTTCATTTATTTCCTGGAAGGGTTTTTGTTATTGTAATGTACCCCCCCCCACCACCCCAACACAATGTAATCCCGACGGACGGATTGTGCGATAGGCGTTGTCATGAGATGGTGAATTAATAATGGTAGGAACCTCCTGGTTACACCAGCCCACAGGGGATTATTGTGTCCGTCCGTCGTGCAGGGAGGGGCTGGGTGGGGAGGTAGGGGCTGGGTGGGGAGGGGAGGGTGGGGAGGGACTGGGTGGGGTTGGGTGGGGGGTGGGAGGGGTGGGGCTGGGTGGGGAGGGGCTGGTCACCCCGTGGTGCCCTAATAAAACTCAACGTTTAACCTACTCACGCCGGCTTGTGCCCGCCCTCACAGTCGGGCATATTTGCGGAATACACCACACCGCCGTTGACCCTGGCCATTGACCGAGCAACCCAACGTGTTCCTACCAGCTCCCTCCGCAGGAATGTGTTTCGGTCACCTCCGAGATTAGTTGAAGTGACGACGCCTGCTCCACACAAGTACATGGGGAAAAATGTTCCTACCTGCTGTACGTATTGAAAGCGAATATTATCGACCGCACGACGGTCAAACGAAGTTTAAACCGAAGAAAAAATATATTGCACAAAAACACTTTTTTTGTTAACGTGAAACCTATATAAATTTGAAAACGCAGGAAATTGGTTGAGGGGAAAGGAGTACTGGATATGAATTTTTTTAAACTAGGTCGTTATAATTACGTCGGCAAGGTACCTCAAAAGCACTCACAACGAGGTCAATGGTGGATAAAGTAGAACACATAATTGGAGAAAGTCAATTACTCAGAAATGCGAGCCGCGGTTTGGTGTGATTTAGGGGCATGGATTACGTACACACGCCCGTGCCTGGCCTGAAATGCGTGCTTTAGAAACCCATGTGGCATTAAACACATTTAACCCACATGTACAGCCTGTAATAATTGAAATAAAATCTCATTGAAATTATACGGTATGTTTTTTCCCTGCACTCATAACCAAATTGGAACCGTCTGGGCAAGGAACGGCGGATCAAGTCTCCCAACAGGATTGACACCAACTACATTTGGCAAACAACACAAGTTGAAGCCAACTTTCGTGTTATTATTCACACACAGAGAGAAAACAATAACTTTCATGAATGACCTAAGTTGGATATTTCAGGTCACTGTAATGAGTGATCACTACTAGCTTGAACTGGGATATGCTTCATCATGGGACCTCCTTTGCCAGTACCAAAATATGAGAAGAGGTTTTCCCCTTTTTTTCTGGCAACAAAACAGGTGTTAAGATGTTAAAACACCAAACATACTCTGATAATATATGCATTGTCTGATTGAAACTGATTGATTGGTCCACACCAGAGACACCGTTTGAGACGAGGCTCTAAAGAAAGCTGTCTCTGGTGTGGACCAATCAGTTTCAAAGACAATGCAAATATTATCAGAGCATGTTTTTTGTTTGCATTCTGACCACAAGTATTGTGGTTAATGCAGACGTGATTCCTTGTAAAAGGTTTCAGTTTGGTGTTTTAGCATCTTAACACCTGTTTTGTTGCCAGAAAAAAGGAGAAAACCTATTCTCATATTTTGGGATATGCTTGTTACTAATACTCAACTCTTAATACTAACACTTTGAAACGTGCCAATTTCACTCACCAGCATCAGGAATAATCAGAACAGTAGTTTTAAGTTGATTTACGCATTTCATAACGGTTACAATTCAGTACACTATAGGTCTGCACATCTGCTTCCAGTTTGAATTGATGTTAGTGTTCCTCAGCTATATGTGAGTCATCATGTTTCAAGTTTCATGTATTAGGTATAGCCCTGTGAGCCATTCGGCTCTTGAATCGGGTGGAACCGCAACAAACAAAAAAAACAAAAACATGAACAAGAAAACATCTTAAAGTGTTAGTCTAAACCAAGAAAAAGAAGGCTCGTCTCTGAGCCCTAACGATGTAACAACTTATCGAGTATTGTATTGGCGTTTGGAAAAAAGAAATGCACAAATTATGGTCACATTTCAACAATTGGAAATGAAGCTATTTTTAAACTTTACTCTGAACAGGGCCCAAGGTGTTAGGTGGTCCCTAACCCTTTTTTGGGGGATTGCCTGAAACGTCGCCATATAAAATGCAGCAAGGTCAGGACACTTAAAACCACTGCTTAAACTCCATGCAGTTGCAACCCTGACAGTATCAGTCTTGGACAGCCCTTTGCACGTGTACAAATGCACCACGCACGCTCCGCAAACACGGTGACTCAAGACGACACAAATACGACCTGGAAACAATTGACCCCGTCAAAGAACCACGTAACAAACCGGACGTGAGTCATAATAACAAGCGAAACGTCAAATATTTGTCCATTAAAGCGGGCCACGTTTTGCAACACAACCACCGGCAGCTGGACGTGGCGTGAGTTGGGGGTGGAGGCTCGTGCTCAAAGTGTACCTGGCCTGGCACAGGTGCATGGCCGGGTATTGGAGGCTCGTGAAGGACGCTGCTGCGACTGGGCAGTTGGGAGGCAATCATCCCTCCACCGGCTGAAACGCAGCAAGTTGGCACAGTATAGGGGGGGTACAGCTGGTGGTGCATCTACCGGTCATCTCAGTCAGCCAACCCATGGCACCTGCTGGGTCTGTCCCGAAACCTCCTGCACCTAGCCTGGCACAGTAGGGGGTACAGCTGGTGGTGCATCTACCGGTCATCTCAGTCGGCCAACCCATGGCACCTGCTGGGTCTGTTCCGATGACCTCCTCCTGCCAGCAGCGAGCTTTCAACACTTTCACGTGGCAGCCTCAAAGTGCACCTGGTCTGGCACAGGCGCCGTCGTGGTGACGTCACCGTCACTTCGTGGCGCCTGTTGGAATGTGGCGGGGGCGGTGGCTAATTATGCGTGACGTCACGACACACCCACCCACGCCCACATTTGTTCGAAGCACGTGGGGGCTTACTCCGCCACGTTGGCTTTTGACGTCACCAGAAGCCGCTGTTGCCACGTGCGCGGTCCCCTCCCCCCCGTGACGTCACGTCGCCCGGAGTTGACGTTGCCTTGACGACGCGGCGCGTGACGGGACAGCGCGCGAGGCGCGTGCCTATTTGTTAATTGATGAGGTTATCGGCGATAGATTAATGAGAGCGACATTAGCGAGGGTCGTTATTATCAATACATTTTTTGAGGGGTAGAGAAAAAAAATGTGTCCGTCACTTCCTCGCGACGTGAGCGGCGTCACCGCTGGCCCTGTGACTTGCAACGTGGACCAATCGGCGCGCAGCTTCCTGCTTGCGAAACTTTGAATGGCATTGGCCTTGGCTGTTGCGGTGGGTCGGGCAGCTTTTCCGTGCGAGTCGTTTCATTCTCAAAAAATACAGATACGTCGACAGTGGTACGTACTGAAAGCGCATCACTTAACAGAGCGTGGAGCTTGAATTCCGGTGAAATTAGCGCGCGGGACGGCTCAATTTGGCTCCGCGAAAGCCAGGCCTGGATCGAGCCTACGGGCTTTCCTAGAAACATGCCCGGAGAACGGGGGAGTGTTGACGCCAGTATAGGGCATTCGAAAAGTAAACATTTACCGGATTTCCAATTGTACTTGAGATAGAATTACCGGGCGGGGCGTTGCTTCCATGTGGTCTTGCCCTTTGGAGGCAAGGGTTGGCGATTCGAGTCGGTGTTTTCAAAACTTACAAACCTGCTGGAGGAGGGCAGTACAGAAAGTTAGTAACTGGCCTGTTTCTGCAGACCTTTGTGTGTTATAATGTTGTGATTTGTGACTGGGTATTCCGGTTTCAACCAAAACACTCTTCAAAATGAATTGGTCCTACTTCCAACTGCAGGTCCTTATAACACCGCTTCCTAAATGCAACTATACGGACAATTTGAAACATTTTTGCAGCGAGTTGTAGGAAACATTTTCGGGTATTCACCTGCCATTGAATTGTGTTATATGCAACCAGCCGGAGCTGCTGTGAGCGAGGTACATTTTAAATGGGGGAGGTCTTTTTAAATCCATGATGAATCCCAGTAAATTGGGCAAAACACCCACCTTGAAACTAAATTTGCAGGATGTTTCGAATTACAAACCACGCCGTTTTTTTTTGTAAAACTGTTAATCTAAATATGACGGCAGGCACTGCTAATCCTCCATAAGTCGTGTACAGTATTGGTAAACAATATTAGTAATTCAGATAATTCGCGTGCACCTGTGCTTGTTTATAATCTGTGCTACCAGCCAGGAAGACCTCATTTCACATTGCCCCGTGCAATGGGCAAGATCTTTTTTTGGAAATTTAAGATTTAAATTGGCTACTTCAGTTATTTGTTTTACAATAGCAGGCTAATTAAACTAACGTTACTTCTTTCTACTGCCACAAAGCATAAAGGTCTCAATGACAGTAAAAAAATATATATAGCCGTGCTTTGAATAACGATTCAATTGTTATTTATTAGAAGAGAAAAGAGGAAGTTAATGTAAATTCCTGGTATGGCAACATTCTTTTTGTCCAAAATTATGCAATGAAATTATCTCATATTTGTATGGGTTGCAAAAACTTGGGGAGAACAATGTGAGAAAATCCTGCAAGCTAGACAACAACTAATAATTGCTCTTTGTACTTGTGTACTCACGGAAGGCCAGTGAGTGACCTGCACCGTTGCAATATTTGACGTGTTTTGGGTTGTACCACATGTTGGGAATGATGTCCGACTTTTCGCTCCACGTAATGGTATCGTCAGGCACTTTACAATTCAGTTGTATACGAATTGAATTAAGTTCCTCGAGAAGCTTCCAGCAAGTGGAGCGAAACATCGGAACACCGTGCAAAACAACATACAATTCCACTTTTGAAGCTGCCAGGAAGCAGAGCGAAAATTTGGACATGATGCCCAACGACAAGTGGTACAACCAAAAAAACATCGCAGAGCTGAAAACCTATGCTGTTTGATTTGTCTTTTCACAGAAGAGCAATAATGAAGGCCCTGATCCTGGTGGGTGGGTATGGCACCAGGCTGCGACCCCTCACACTCAGCCTCCCCAAACCGCTGGTGGATTTCTGCAACAAGCCCATCCTGTTCCACCAGGTGGAGGCACTCGTCAAGGTGCGGATCTTGCAATGGAATGTTTCATTGTTTAACATTGAAACGCACAAAGCTGTGATCTGAATGTATTTCAAAGTCCTCACAAAGTTTGCGCCATCACGCTTAGACCGTAAATGCTTGCTGTCTTTGCTGGCCACACCCTGGCACTCTTATGTAGTTGGTATGTTTGTATCCGTTTATACTTGTCCAAATAGTATATTAAACCCTTTGACAGTATGTACAACCCTTTTTATTCCTTGATTGATACATGTGTCGGAAATGCAGGCTGGCGTTAACCATGTAATCCTGGCGGTAAGTTATATGTCCGAGTTGCTGGAAAAGGAACTCAAGCGAGAGGAAAAGAAGGTTGGTACATACCAGCAAACCTTAAGGGTTTCTTTTTAAATGTAACATTTCAACAATTTTCATGACGGTGATAACTCTGGGTAGAGTGGAGTGGTGGCACAGTGGTGAGCACAAGGTACTAATATTTTGGTCATCCGAGTTGGATTCCTTGCCATGTGTAACATAAGTGGAGAGTGGTATCTGGACCAGTCCAGGATTCTTCTCCCAACTCCTCACCCACACTGACCAACATGGGAAATGTGATCAAATTATCCTCATGACTGACACGAATTGGGGATGCCTTCAACAGTGTTATTGACAGAGTGCTGATAATATATAAAATATGTTTCTTTATAATATCGCTCATTTATGATCATTCCTGATACATCATAACTTGTAGCTTAACTTTTCCATGAAGATTCTTGGCTGCCTATATCAATCTACATTTTTGTTTTCCCCATTGCAGTTAGGGATCAGAATATCTATGTCCCATGAGACGGAGCCGCTCGGTACAGGTAAGCTTACCAAAGGCATGTGGCCGAAACATCCACCGCATGCCGTGTAACTGAAAGCACCTTAAAACACGTTTCCTTGCTACCTGCTGCTACCATGTCGTGAATGGAGGGGCTTCCCGTTTTGCGTGTGTGATATGCCACAGCTGGACCACTTGCCCTGGCACGAGACATTCTCAAAGAAGACAACGAGCCCTTCTTTGTCCTCAACAGCGATGTCATCTGCGAGTTCCCCTTCGAGGACATGATCAAGTTTCACAAGCAAAGCAACAGGGAGGGCACTCTTGTGGTACGTCCGAACACTCGGGTTGCCACATACAAGATACCAAAAGTACCCTGGGGCATATCGTGAGAAAAATAATACCTTGCAATGCCAAAAGAGGGGAAAATTACGTGTGAATGCAGTTTCCTTCGTGGTGTGTTATTGTTTAACTGGCAAAACAACTGGACTTTTATCATTTTATGTCATGGGAAGATGGCTTTCTCAGGACAGCTACATCAGATCGTTTGTTACAGTACCACAGTGTGACCGGTGTTCAAGGTTATGCCGTCTTGGTTGTCTGCCAATTTGTATATGCAGAGATAATTGCCAAAGTCAAGATGACCATTGGCAAGAATCAACAATGTGGTTCATTCATGAGCTAAATTTGGATTGGATGCTGACAGGTCAGGTAATTGTTACCTTCAAATACACACAATTGGAATACTATTAATATTTCTGCAGTCTGTCTTCACTTTAACATTAAATTCGTCACACGTGCTTGTCTGATCAGAAACTGCTCCGTATTCAAAGGGCTGTACATTCTTCAGTGGCACATCAAAGAAAGAATGTCATTCCCTCTGGTGTGCAGGCTTAAACCAGCCCTGGCTGTTATCCCAACTAAAATATATCTATTTTCTGAAAATTATATCAAATTTGTGGCATACGTAAAGTTGGCTGATGTAGTGACACAAACTATATAAAATATTGTAGGTCCAATTTCATGAATGGGATGTACCAACAAACCCTGATCTTCCTTTTAACCAAAGACATGCATTAAGTTTGTCACGCATACATGCTTTCAGCATCCAAGGCCTTCTGTCAAAGCCCCCAGTCAATATCCACTCTTTGAGAGGTAACTTTTTTCTCTTGCCACACCTTTGGAATGGAAACCCCCATCCCCTGTCTATTCACACTGCCTATTAATTCCTTTGTTCAAATCCCGGCTTAATGCTCTGCTGTACTTGTGTGTGGATTTGTTCTGGGCTATTCCAAGATGTTGCTTTAACCTCTCTCCCTTTTGTGTGTTACCTGCCCTGACCCCACCACCCCTCTCTTCTACTCTCATTTAGTTTAAAAAATCTTGCAAAGTGTTTTCAGATGTGATTGCACTTCGATGCTATACATATATGTATTTTGAACTTCTTTCGCACCGTACGTAGACAACCATCCTCATCGGCGGTACGAAGGAAGGACCATAAACTAAAAACAAAAGGCAGTGAAATCAGAAGTTACTGTTGAACTGTTTTAGCTCCTACCGAATGCCCCTTCACATTGCAAAAGGTTCCTTTGCGCCCTATATCACAACGGTCTTCTCCTTTATAACCTTGTAGCCTTCTACCCCCAGCTCCCTTCTTTTCAAAACAACAATAATGTGAATACACTCCTCTATGTACAGTGTCTTGAAATGCCGATATTTAAAGACGTTTATAATCCAAATAATTTTATGGTAGTGTATTTTATATATATATATATGCATTGTAATACACAGGTTACGAAGGTAGAGGAGCCTTCCAAGTACGGCGTGGTGGTTTACAACTCCGAGGATGGCAGGATCCACCGCTTTGTTGAGAAGCCGCAAGTCTTTGTCTCCAACAAGATTAACGCCGGCATGTACATCTTCAGCCCGCGCATCCTTGACCGCATCCAGGTACGAGCCGGAGCGTTCCCTTTTTCTTGTCCCCCTCGACTCTATCCTATGGCACAAGACATCCATTGTTAAGAGCACTGCATGATCAACAATCTGGAAGATTTGCACAATTGGACATTGTGCTGAAGCGGTTACTCCTTTGGAATTCCTCACAAATGTATTCCGATTGTGCTTACTTGGTAAAAATCCGCTGCTGCAGTATGTGTAATCGATGCATGATAGTGTCATATTTGTTGACATGGGAGCTTTGTGTGTTTTATTGCAGCTTCGACCAACATCCATTGAGAAGGAAATTTTCCCAGCAATGGCTCAAGCAGGGGAGCTTTATGCCCTGGAGCTGCAAGGTAACAATTCTGTTGATGCCACGAATCATAATACGCTTATCTTTCTGGACACTGCATGCTCATGCAAACTATTACTTGTGTATGCTGAGTCAGTGTTTTAATGTGCCAAGCTCTGATAAGGCCTTATGAGTTAAAGAGCGAAAACTCACAGTGGCTGATGTGAGTGTCTTGGTGTTAGCGCCGAGTATGTCTTCAAATTTGGGGTGTAATAATCGTCCACGTGTCATTGGAGTGAAAATTAAGTTGTTATCCTAGTCACATCAGCCGACCTTGAGCTGCGTCAGGATGTACAAAGTGGAGCCACGTGACATTGTGTGCGCAGGCTTCTGGATGGACATTGGGCAGCCCAAGGACTTCCTCACGGGCATGTGCCTTTATCTGCACGCCGTGCGCCTCAAAGCCCCCGAGCGGCTCCATCACGCGCCGGGGATTCTGGGTAACGTCCTGGTGGTATGCTGACGCAGCGCACCCGTGTCACTGAAACGGCGAGCGAAGGACCCGCATTGATATTTATAACGCGCGCCATGTACGGCAATAGATTGCATTGTATTACATGTATTGCTCACCACTAGAAGGTGCTTTATATACGCATAGTAAAGTGGGGAAATTGCTCTCGGATTGAGTCGTTAAAGATGTACTCTAAAGAATGAGTTGCATTATAAATCTATTTGTTTACTAGTAAAAAAAAAAGTTTTATATTATAAGGACGTTTTTTAAAATTCTATAAATAGCTATAAAATGTTGCAAAACTTTACAGCTAAGATTGTAAGCAACTAAGATTTTAAGCATTTATGTATTATCTCCTTCCTTAATGGGGTTTTGGTGGGGGAAGAGGATATCCAGTTTAAATTAACCTGTAGTATTTAGTTGTGTTGCTATTTCATTAACGGATTGGCCAAAACTCAGAGGGACAAACCAGCGCAATGAGCAGTACTTGCAAATAAGTAAATGCATTTGCCCTGAGCTGCCCGTCGACTTCCTTGCTATAAGCGAAATACTTCTGAAGACTAACGCATCTTTGAAAGAGTCGGTGTCCCATGCACATGCATGATTTTTATGTTATTTTTCTAAACCTTACTCGCGATGGTGGCGTGTCTGCTTGCGGAGCCGTAGCGTAACGGTAAACGCACCTCACCACGAACCCGGCGATCCGGCTTCAATTCTCGCTCGCGGCCAACATCGATGACTAATATCTGAACTAGTCCTGGGCCTGTCACGAGCTTGACTCCTGCCCCAATTAAATAACTGGTATGGCGTGTAAACATCACCACTTTGGGATACACAGGCAATTACTCTTTGGTTCTTTCGGTAAAGTCACGTATAAAGAGTGTTTTATCTCTCTCTGAAATTTAGCATTCACAGGAAGAACGTAATCAACCAGGTAGGGTGTTGACTGTTATGTTATCCGACTCTCTGTTGTATTACATTACATTTCTAGGTATACTAGATTTGTGTTTCTATTTCCTTTATACCTGATGATGATTGCTTGTGTTGCAATCGAAACGTCGTATGCTAGTATTTAATTTATTATTTTCTCTTTATACATGACTTTACCGAAAGAATCAAAGGATAATTCCTGCAGTCACAAAAGCTCCAAATTAAGTATAAACACAGACAAGCCGGGCATGGAGCTGGGCCACCTACCTCCCAGTGTGCCGTACCGGCCGTAACATATGCCTCACTAATAGCAATTTCCCCAGCATTCTGCTCAAGGCTATATGTAGGGGTGAACCTTTGTCTTTGTGCTCCATCCTCTAGGACCCCAGCGCTAAAATCGGCCAGAACTGCCGGATCGGCCCCAACGTGGTGGTGGGGCCGGGCGTGGTGATCGAGGACGGCGTGCGCATCCAGCGCTGCACCGTGCTGCGTGACTCGCGGATCAAGTCGCACTCGTGGCTCGACTCCTGCCTCATCGGCTGGAGCTCTGTCGTCGGGCAGTGGGTCAGTTCTCACTCGCGCTCACGCCAGCAGCAGCAGCAGCGGCCATCAGCGGTGGTGGCAGCAGCGAGAGTTAACGATGCTCACACTTGTTATTGCCGTCGTCACTGCCATTAGCCGCGATCAATCCACTGCTGGGTAAAGGCCTCCCCGAGTCGTCTACATCTTTATTTTGTGCGTGTATGTTGAACTTCTTTTGCACCGTACGTAGCCAACTGTGACAATCAGAGGTGCGGAGGATGGACCACATACTAAACACAGCGAACCCGTGCAACTGAGGCATCGCGTCTGTTTTTGCCCTGCTCCGCGCCACAGGTGAGGATGGAGAACGTGACGGTGCTCGGCGAGGACGTGATCGTGAACGACGAGCTGTACCTGAACGGAGCGAGCGTGCTGCCCCACAAGGCCATCGCCGATTCCGTTCCTGAGCCCAAGATCATCATGTAGCGCTCGCTCCGTCTCGTGAGAAACGCGGAGAAAGCGAGATCCCTGTCCGCGCGGCGCTTTCTGTCTCGTCTCGAGTCTTTTCTCTTTTTATTTACGAAAGGTCAATTGGCTTATGGGATGCTCTTGACATATATAAAATATGTGCACACCGACACAAGTGGACACCATCCGTCTTTCGATCCTACGTGCGTTTTCAAGGAAAACCAGATGGCCCGGTCGGGATGTTTCTCGTTCACTATGACGCATGCATCCAGCTGAGAAGTCGCCCACTGATGGCGATAAAAAACTTGTAACATATTGTAAAATGTTTATCGGAAACATCACGTTGTTGCTGTTGTTGTGGACGGCTGTGAACATTTGGAAAGAAGAAAACTGCTGCAAGCCGAGATCGGTTCTTCTAATGTGTAAAAGTTAGGTCCGTTTTCAAATTTTGAAGTGGAACACTGTCGATTGTTTAGGGTCTCTCCAACCGGAGGCAATTGCAGTTGACAAAAGGGGATTGCAATATTTATGAAGCTGCTTAGAAAACAAAAAAACAGTGCATTTCACATGTCTGCATGGTTTTTGTTGATGTTTAACCAGTCTTGCCAAATGGTGGACTTAAGTTGCAAATACAATAGGCGTCCTCTTAGCAGCCTTGTGTAAAGCATTGCCTGTTAAGTAAACCACGAAACGGGAAACGTTATTCAAGTGCAGGAAAAACTTGCAAAACATTTCTACATGTAGGAAATACTTTTTGTCTTTTCTGAGAAGCCTACTGACTTCTTAAATGCCTGCCTGCATTGCAATCTACCCGAATTCGAAAATGGTACAGCGCAGTGTTTTTACTGGGTCACGGAGATTCGATTACGCATATAATTGTATTACTGTAAATTGTTTAAAATGAGCCGGTCGCATATATATGGTAGTCGACATTATAAGACAATTGCAAATGCAGTGCTTGTTTATAGACATGTCTTTCACACCCAAATGAAGTTAAATCACGTGCACTTAATGAAGTGTACGTAACATTTTATATCGTCTAAACTGAATGCCTTATTTTTATTTTTGCTTTGGAGAATAACACTATTACAATCCTATTCATGAATAGGCATATTATCATTTTGAGATTAAAATATGTAAAATTGTAACGACTGGTTCTATTAAAACTTGTTGGTGGATGGAGTGAAATCGTGTCTGGCATCCGCATTTTAATTTTGCATTTGCTATATATTGTGAAATATATATGGCGCAGTGCGTGACTAAATCCGTTTAAGTAGATGCAGTTTCCTTTGAAATTGTTTTTTCAAGTTGAATAAGAGAGTCAATGGGGAAGTTGGTGATGCAGTGATTAATTTGAGTGATATCTGAACTGGTCCTTGGTGGCAGTTAACTTTCACGACTGACAGCAATGGGAGGGCTTTCGTCCAGCAGTGGATTGACAAAGGGCCGTACATACGCAAGGGAGTAGAATTGTAATAACACGACCTTCCCCACGATGCGTCCAAGGATCGGCAACCAAAATAACAAGAAGACATTTTCATTTTCGAACAGTGTAACAAAAAAAAAACCTTTCAACAGCCGCAATGCGCGTGGTGAACACGAGACGGTGGGGTTATAAATAAACAACGTCACGATACAGGCCCTGGAAGAGCTGCAGGTTTGCCGAGCCCTGGCCGAGTACAAAAGTAAAATGTGTTGACGAGGGAGCTTTGAGGGCCAATATATTAAAGACCGATGAAATCGTGGCGTTAATGACCGCGCACGCGCGTGACTTGGAGCGGTGATGTGGGCCCGCGGTCGTGCGTTTTTGCCACTCGTTGCAGGGGTTCCACGGTTTGAATCCGGTGGGCCGCACCGGTTAATAATGCAGGTACATGAACCATGCAACACTACGGCGCTGTCTTCAGGGTGGACGTTCAAGGTCCCGTTGTCGTTTGACGAGAGCAAGCCGTTGTGCGCTGGTGTCATACACATTTTTTAACTTGGCCGCATGTTACCCAATCGGGATTACACATACTCTTAGTTTTTTTCGGTAAAGTCACGTAGGTAAAAAATATATATATAATAAAATAATAATAAATGAAAATAACTAAAACATTGAATTTATTTTTATTTATAATTTTTTAATTTAGTAATTTTCATTTATTACTATTTTATTATTATTTTACCTACGTGACTCTACCGAAAAAACCTAAGAGTATGAATCCTTGCAGTCACGAAAGCTTCAAATCTGGGATTACACGTGGCAACATCGTTCCCTACGGTACTGCAGACTGAAGCGTAGCGTTATTCGTGATAGCTTTGCCCTCAAAGAATGGCACGAATACCCAATGTACGAAAGATCGTAAGATTATGCTCACATGACTGAAAGTTAATCCTGGGATCTTGACCCAGATATTAATGTTTGACATTGCATTGCGTGTGTTTAAATAGCATTTATTAAAAAAAATTTAAAAGAAAATGCCTGCCCTGAATTACCATCTTTTGTTCCAGGTCCAGAACAAACCTTGATTCTCTTAGCCCAGCAGAGTGCAACGACTAGAGATTGTATATATTTTACTGATGAGCTACCCCCATATTACTGCCAGAATAAAATTAATCATCATTTACCACACAACAACAACAAACGGTTTAGCTTACGTCTAACTAAAAAAATCCCGGAAATATTCGAAAGGTCAACAATCAAACATAACGAGACATTTAACATGCTTTTCTGGACTTCGTGACCACTGGGGATCTTTGTCAACACATTAGACCAGCCTTGCTCTCTGTTGTGGCGTCATTATGCCTTGGTACACATGGGGTATGATATATTGTTATTAGGCAGGCAGTGAGCAAATTGGGTTCATAACCCACAGCACTTTTCCAGAGGAATTTATGATGATGCGTGCAGCCTCAGACAAGCTACCACCTAATGCAGTGAACTGGCTGGCCATTAAGGTCCGCATAGCCTCCACATGGCAAGTCAGCGAGGATGGCCCTTAATGGGATTTTTATTTCCTCGGCTTGAATATTTCTTCTCCGGTCCAAATGCTGCCACGGACACTTTCATGGAAAAGCATTTCGACCTACCGATGTCTGCAAAGCAATCGGGGGAGAAATAAAATTCACAGTGTGCTTGTAAAGAGGCCTCCAACACGACTCCCTTCCCTGTGGTTTTAGGACGAGTAAAATTGCATTTCAAAAAGGGTTCCCACGTGCACGAACGGGTGTGGTGAGGGTAATCAACGCAGATAACGAAATATCGCAGTGTCGCATGATCCTAGTAGCAAAGTAGGTACATATGTGTAGTAGCTACATGTGCAGTATGTAGCTACTACGCGCCAGTAGCTACTACATATGTAGCTACTACATATGTAGTATCTACTGGCCCCGCAGTTTCAAGAGCTACGCGCTAAATGTTTTCAAGCTATCAATTCCGGTTCGGAAATTCTGCACTTGCTCTATTACTATAGTACTATAGCGCCTTCAACTTTTATGAACGACTGGGTATTTAAGGTTAGCGATTTGTCGTATTATCTGGCCGGAAAGCAGATGAAAAAATACAATTACTTTGCTATGCAAGTTAAAAATGTGTGTTTTAATATTTGCGTGTTTATTTTTTTTATATATTTAGGGCCCCTTTATAACATATGCTACAGGCCCCGCACGAGCTGAGTCCGGCACTGAACACCGGTATCTACCCGTTGACACAGGTGGATTCGCCAGGTCAGCGAGAGAAAAGCACCCTGAGAGAGTAACACCCACGCGAGACCAACGACATTAACGCAACGCCCTAGCGTGAGCCTAAAATGACGGATGGCCATTCGTAAAGAGGAAAGGATAAAGGCAGTGGCAGCCAGGGGGTGATGTAAAGCGTCCCGAGAGGGACCTCGCAGGATCGTGAGAAATTCACGGCGGCGGCTCGGACAGGGCCCTTCGTCCAACGATGGATTGACCACGGCTGCAATAATGAGGTGTGCAAAACATATGAACGACAAGCCGACATAATGGGCAATGACCTTTTCCGCAGCGCAGGGGTGGAGGGGAGGGGGAACCACGAAGGCAAGAATATTGTTACTCAAGAAGTCATCGCCACGGTGCGCGCACGTGGTGAGCAATTGCTTAGCCTAACGAGCACCGCCAATGGACTCGTGGTTGATGTATTGGTACCGTGCCGGGCTTAATGGGCATTGGGGCGGTCGGGAAGGGCTTTGTGGAATCGCCCGGCAGAAAGGCGATCCCCGTGACCTCAGCGCGCAGGTAACGCGAGCCTCGCGTGCGCAGTTAAAGCCTTGGAGACATGAGATAATATGAGAAATCAGAATATAAGCAATGAGCACAGTGCATGTCGCATGTTGACCTTGACGACGTGATTGTCTATTCCTCCAGTAAAATAGAGGGCCACGGTGCAGAGATGTATTTGGGTATTTTCACGGTAACAGAATAAAGCTCAAAAAATAAGAATCGTCATCGTCAGTCGTAATCAAGCCACTGCCGGATGAAAGCCTCCCCCCCAAACCATCGCCATCTGTCACAATCCTGCGATACAACAGCAAACTTTTTCAAGCCTTATATCGATTATGAATAGGCTATCTCAGCATTTATCATTCAAATAAATCAGCCGCCACGCGTTATGTTATTTGTTTTACCTTGAATGCAAAGTAACCAACGTAATACGGCAAAATCGTGCCCCAAATGTGACTGCAGTTTTGTGGCACGTAGGGAAAAAGCAGAGATGGGGATGTGCGTTCATCACGTGCAGTGCTCGACATTCGTTTGCGGCCTTGTACTGCTTAAGTCGGAACGACGTTTCCCTCCACGCGCTGAAGAATCTCCCAGCACGTGCTGGAGAATAATCCAGACATTGCACTAAAGGGGCCGTCCATAAATGACGTCACGCGATTTTAGACGATTTTTTACCCCCCCCCCCCCTCGTCGTCACACGGCGTCACAAAAAGTCAGACCCCCCCCCCCTCAAATATGACGTCACAAAGCTCTGCCCTCCAAACCCCCCAGAAACCATATTTACATTTTGAAAATAAAACATGCTTCAAATCGTTTTAAAACTTTCGTGACTGCAGGGATTCATCTTCTTGGTTCTTTCGGTAAAGTCACGTAGAAGGGAAATAATACCGAAAGAACCAAGAAGATGCTTCAAATCGCTTTAAACTATTGTCATTGTAGTGCGTATTTAATGTGCCGCTGCACTCTGGTGTTGTAGGAGAAAACATTTATTTAAAAGTATATTTAATTAAGTAGAACGTGTTGTCTATATTTATTGAAAGTTGCGCATTTTGATGTGACGTCACATTTCTCAAACCCCCTCCCCCCCCTTCGTCACACATCGTCACAAATGTCTGACCCCCCCCCACCCCCCAGGTGCGTGACGTCATTTATGGACGGCCCCAAATAACACGCGGCACAACCCCGAAAAAAGACGTCGGAGAGAGCTACATAACACGAATGAGAAACCCAGCCGTGCAGCATATATCATAGATTGTTTATCAGGATGTGCGGTGATGACGAGCTGCACCTTTTCATCTGCGTGCGGTGTAACAAAGCTGCTTGTTACCTTCTAGATTTGAAGCTTTCGTGACGGCAAGGATTCATATTCTTAGGGTTTTTTCGGTAAAGTCACGTAGGTAAAAAAAATCAAATTCATAAAAGACGGAAGCTTGTGTTGCCTCCGAAACGTCGTGATTTTTATTTTATTTTTATTTTACTTTTAATAATTTAAATTGTTTATCTACGTGACTGCTTGTTACCCCCCACCCCCCATCCCCCCATCTCTCATCCTCCAGCAGAGTCCGACTCGGGCTGCCTCCACTGCTGCTGCTGACCGTGCAAGCCCCACGCGCGCTCCGTGATTTGTGGTTTCCATTACCGCGTGGCGCGCGCGGTCCCAGTGATGCCACGCGGTGACGGTCCAGGGGGCCTGGAAGTGACCCCAGGGGCCCTGCGGGTGACCCCAGGGGCCCTGCGGGTGACCCCAGGGGACCTGCGGGTGACGCTAACGAGCGAGACGCCGCGCCCAAATGTCGCGAAGATGACGCGACAAAGCACAACGTGCAAATGCGTTGCAGGCCGCGGGAGTGGAGGTGAATCTATATTTTGAAATAAACAACGAACGCAGGCTGCTGGAGTGTTAGTGCAGCTTGCTGATGTCAGGCTCTAGAGCAGTGGTTCTTTCCGACAGCTCTGTTTCT